CACCTGTAATCCCAGTACTTTAGTGGTGCACGCCTATAATCCTAGTAGTTTAGTGGTGCACACCTGTAATCCCAGTACTTTAGTGGTACACGCCTATAATCCCAGTACTTTGGAGGCTGGGACAGGACAATAATTTGAGGTTGAGGTTAATTTGAGTTAGATACATGTCTTAAATGAAAAAAGGAAAAAGATTTTTGTTAAAAGAAGACATGGTCTTTTGCAACCCCTAACTGTGTAGGTGAGGATGGCTTTGAACTTTGGATCCTCCTGCCTCTACTTCCAAAGTGCTGAGATTACAAGCATGTGCTACCTCATCTGGCTTAAGGAAAGAAAATCCTATAAAACTATGCAGTACACATCTCTTACTCAGTGACTACTACAGAAAAAGATAATGTATTCTCCACAATGGGGCTTTAGAGGTGTTGGTGAGGCAGGTAAGTGTATTGAAAGCTACTCATGCACACCTTTCTTAACAAAGCACCTGGGACCCACAACTGCATCAAGACACACACACACACACACACACACACACACACACACAACTGTTTTTCCCCTTGAACCCATAAAAGAAAAGCCTAAACAGTAGCCAGTCACTCAGGCTGCTTGCTTGCTCAGGACCCACAGCTCCTTATACTGTATCTAACTTGTGCCTTTACTTTGCCTCCAAATAAGATCTCTTGATACTTTCCTCTTTTATGTACACTTTTCTATTCTTCTAACAAAATGTCAAAAATGTGGAAACACTGGAGTTCAAGTGATCCCCAATAACATAATTGGTGATCCCAACCAGAAAGTAAGAGAGTAAATCTTCTTCTGTCTCACTAATGCAGATTTCCCTCACAGTCTCCCCTCTTGTTCCAGTCTGATGCCTATGGCTGTGCATGGTAGCTGGCTGAACTAACCAGTTTAGTCAGAAAGCCATCACACTTCAGCCTCTCCACTTGTCTGGCCGTTGAGGAACAAGAAGCTGGAGCCCTCCATAAGCTGTTTCACCAGGAGAGCAAAGAGGAGGAAGACATGTGTGTGACAGGTGCCTTCCAGCCAGGGCTTGAAACAGTCAACCAAATAAATTCAGTATGATTTTGTGGCAGAATAGAGATGTAACAAGGTAGTCTCCTGCCTCTTTCCAATATTGCTTTTGTTCTGAACCCAAAAAATGTGTCACCAAGCCGGGCAGTGGTGGCACATGCCTTTAATCCCAGCACTTGGGAGGCAGAGGCAGGTAGATTTCTGAGTTCAAGGCCAGCCTGGTTTGCAGAGTGAGTTTCAGGACAGGCAGGACTATACAGAGAAACCCTGTCTCAAAAAAACAGCAAAAAACAAAAACAAAAAAGTGTTACCACGGGCTAGAGAGATGGCTCAGTGGTTAAGAGCACTGACTGCACTTCCAGAGGTCCTGAGTTCAAATCCCAGCAACCACATGATGGCTCACAACCATCTGTAATGAGATCTGATGCCCTCTTCTGGTATGTCTGAAGACAGCTACAGTATATTCATATATAATAAATAAATAAATCTAAAAAAAAAAGTGTTACCACTTAGATCGGGAAGTTTTTAAAGAGGGGAGGAAGGAGAGAGGGAAAAAGAGGGAGAGAGAGAGAGAAGATCTCATTGTATAACTATCCTGAAACACAGAGATCCTCCTGCCTCTGCCTGCCAAATGCTGGGATTAAAGAAAGGCACCACCATGCCGGCCTGCCTCTTGGATCATTTAAATTAATTTGTATGCATGTGTACATGGAAGTCAAAGGACAGCTTTTCCAAGGAGTCTATTCTTTCCTTTCACCTTGTTTTTAAACCAGAGTCCCTTGTTCTCTCTGCTGCTACACTGTGAACTTGAGCTTCTGGTCATAGGAATGCTGAGACTCAGTGGACTCAAGTCACTTCATCCGGCTTTTGGGGGTTTTGTATGTTGTGGGACTCTAACCCAGGTTATCAGAGCTACATAAAAGCAGTTTACCACTGAGCCATCTTTCCATCTCTGCTTCTTAGAGTTCAAACATTTCCTGTCTTCTTTCCTTCTATTTCTCTTTTTCACTTTTCCTTTTTTCTCACCTTTTCCTTGACCTCAGTATGTTCTATATTTAATATATATATATGTATATATATGTATATATATATATACATATATATATATATTTTTTGTTTTAATTATTTAAGAACATACAGGGTGTCCTGATCCCTTGAGAAATAAAGAAGCTTAAAAAAAAAAATGTACTCAGGACTCAGAGGATCAGAGGTGGTTCTGAACCAAAAGCCTCCTCCTTGGGGATTAGTTTTCATGGTACCAGAAGGTACTATGCAATCTTCCAAAGGAAGATGATGCCTCCAAACCACAACAGTAACCAGCATAGCATGCATACCTTGACAGTAACCAACAACTCTCCAATTGTATACTTCAGGCCCTCTCAACAAGAGGGAATCATGCCTGGTTCTGGAAACTTAAGACACTCATGCCTCATGAGGTCATGGATCTTGGAGGAGAACTTATATCTACCACCCTACTAAACCAGCATAATCTCTAACTACATTCTAAAATGTTATCCTTCTTCCCACAGATAAGTGTAGTTCTTGCCACTCATCGAGGAAACATCTTTGTAACAGAAAACTACAACTATCAAAATGCAGAGTTGTGAAACCTACCCCCAACTGATACATCTATAACATAACTGCACTCAAGTTTAGGGATTTTTATAGAAGAGGAAGCAGAACAATTCTATGAACCAAAGGAACAGGAAGATTGCTATGAGATTGTGTCTCCTAAAAATGTCAGGGACTATACATCCATGAATTCACACCAACATTGATGCCTAAACAAGACCTGAGCAAGGAAGACACTAATAAACATGCTAATGAGGAAGGAAAAATACTCACAAGGCCTCAACCCTAGACAAAGGGCTACAGGCTACCAGGAATGCTGAGAACAGGAGAAACAGTCTTCCCCAGGGAAGAGTACAACAATTGGTTACCCAATACCAAATGGTCAACCCTGAAAACATACATATAAGTAACAATGTACATACTGAGTGGGTTGTATTTATATATTAAAGAATATATAAACACACACAAATATAAATAAGGGGAACAGGGGTATGAATTTGAGAGAGAAGGAGGTTAGAAGGAGAAAAGGGAAAGGGAAAATTATATAATCTCAAAAATATAAAGGTGTAGAAATTTTAAAATAAGATGTATCCAAGAACTGAAGAAAAACAAAACAAAGTGGAATTCTCATCAACTGTAACAAGCCTATAGGTAGGGCAGTTTGCAAAGAATGGGGCATAAATTAGTTAATTTTAAAATGTCTGTTAGACATAGGATGATGACTAAGAAGTTGGGTATTCCAATGAGACATTTGTGGGAGCCTAAGAGAATTTGGACATCACTGGCATATAAAAAGCGGTTAGCCATATGATGAACTGAGAACATCAAGAGAGTGGATACTAAAAAGAATGAAATTCCATATACTGAGTGCTGGGTACAAAAGGTTAAAAGACTGTTGAAGACTATTGTCTTGAATACCAAGAACATGCGTGTAGGTCAGTCTATGTAAGTGCACATACAATGGAGCATAGCACATCTTTCCACACTCCTTTATAGACCCTCTTTTTATAACCATCTATTAAGCACAAAGACTCCACAGAAGGAACTGTTTGGGCCTAGCAGTGGTTTCTTTTTCTCTACAGTTTATGTCTCCTGCAACTCTTTAAATACTAGCTTGAATACAATAGTAACAATATCATGGAAAGTTGCAGAGTTTTTAGAGGATCCCATCCTTCGACTACTTTTAAATAGAAGGGAAAACTGAGAGTGACATCCATATTTTAGCGTTCAGAAATTATAGCATGTCAAAATTAATAGTGATCTCAGTAACTAGAACTAAACCAAACCACTTATATTGTTGTTGTTATCATTGGTTTTTATAATCATCATCATCATTTAATTATTATTGGTCTCACTATATAGCCCTGGCTGGCCTAGAGCTTGGTATGTAAGCCAGGTTAGCCTGAAACTTGTCCTGTTGGAAGATTAGAGGTGTGCGACACCAAGCCCCCTCCGCCTCTTTTTTAAAACGAAGCCAGAAAAAAAATTATATGTCTTCCGTTGTTGGTAAGCAGGCAAAGGTCTGTGGAGAGGGGTGACGAAAAGAAATATCAGTTCTCTCCGATGTCCTGCTGCCGGCATTTAAGGTGAGGTTGCTGCCGCTGTCCCACTCCGCACGCCCGAGTCTCAGCGCAGCCTGTACCCACACCACCCAGGCGCGCCGCGGGCAACCCAGAGGCCCAGCTGCGCATGCGCGGGGTCCTTCTTCCGCCAGTCCGCTCCGCGGCCATGGCGGCCTCTGTGGTTCCCGGGGGTAAGGCTCTGTTGTGGGCAGGCGCAGCTTGGCTGCGTCAAAGAGGCATTGGGGAGCTACTCCGGCCGCGAATTGAAGGGAGCACCCCGGGCCGTGACTTCAGTCTCTCTCATTATCAGGTGAGGGCCGGCCGGGGCTTGAGGTCCTACACCGTGGGGGACAGGAGTGCTGTTCATGCCCGACTGAGACCGCGAGGGAGGGAGGCGGGCTTTCCTTGGGATGCAGATGGCCGGCGGGGTGGCTGGGTGCTCTCTGCAGACACTCGCTCACCCCAGCCTCCCTGACCACCAGAGCACGGTCATCGTGGAGCGCTGGTGGAAGGTGCCGCTTGCCGGGGAGGGCCGTAAGCCGCGCCTGCATCGGCGTCACCGCGTGTATAAGTTGGTGGAGGACACGAAACGCCGGCCCAAAGACAACCTGGAACTCATCCTCACACAGTCTGTGTACGGTAAGGCTTGGACGCACATGCTAACCACTGCTTCCCCTTACCTGGCTGCTCCTGTTTGACGTTAACCTCTTCCAGCCTCTCATTTGTTGCTTTGTTTTTACTACTTTGTGGTTCGGATGAGGGGCGGGGGAAAAGACACGGAAAGTACTGTGATTGAGATACCAGCACGGAAAATTAAAACGTGTGTGCAATAATATTAACTGTGTAAAGAGAAGCCTAACAGTTTGCAGCACAAGCAATGACATTCTTTGATTGAACAGCACAGTCTGCACCAGTTTTTAAACTGGCCGTGTGACAAGTGTAGTTCCTAATAATTGCGTGTGATGTGTGTGTGCGCACGCGAACGCGCATCGGTGTGAAGGCCAAAGGTCCACCTTATTTGATACAGGACATAGAGACGAGCCCCGGGGATCTGCGTATTTCCTCCCCTCAGTGCTAAGGTTATGGACCACATCCAAACTCAGATCCTCTATGCACCTGGCACTTTAACAACTGAACCTTATAACCTGCCGTATTAAATTGACGGGGATGTAGGGGGTGGTGTTTGTAAGGAAGAATAAAAACTGTGAGAAAGTAAGGACTGTCTCTTTTCTATGTCCCTCCCTTTTGGTGATGCTGGAGATGTACCCCAAAGCCTGAGTACGCTAAGGCAAGGCCTTTACCTGTAGATTGTTACCATGCTGATCATCTTTTCTATAGGGACGCCTGCAGAGTTTTCATGTGCTATTCCCGTTCTCATTGACAGAAATTGGAGTCCGGGGTGATCTAGTCTCAGTGAAGAAATCTGTGGGTCGTAACAAGCTCCTTCCTCAGGGACTGGCTGTGTATGCATCTCCTGAAAACAGGAAGCTGTTTGAAGAGGAAAAAGCGGTGAGCTCAAAGGACCAAAGGGTTTGGAGAAATAAAACTTTAAAGTTCCTGCTAGGAATTCCTTCCTTTCGTTATTTAATTCAAAGGTGAGGTAAGCGCTAGAACAAGAACCCAGAAGCCCAGCCTGTCCCCAGCACAGCTGGGCTGTAATTACTCAGTGTGGTGCCTTGGTTCTACTCACTTTTGTCTTTTTCAGCTGAGACAAGAAGGAAAGCTGGAGAAGATCCAGACAAAGGCAGGAGAGGCGGTGAGTAGGAAGTTTTCACTGGTCCTTCCTGGAGGTCACTGAGGTCTGCTCATTGTTATACACAGGGATGAGAAAAGCAGTGTTGCAGCCCTTGCTCTGTGTGACTGGTATGGGGTCCTCTGGAAATCCCATGTTGGGTACAGTGTCCTGGAACTAGCTCTGTACACACGCCTGCCTCTGCCTCCCAAGTGCTGGGATTAAAGGCATGCGCCACTACCACCTGGCTGCTTTTTTACTTCCTTTAAGAAAGTGTACCAATTTTTAAAATATATTCATTTCTTCCATTTGAAATACTCGGTGACATCTCAGCATGGGGATTTTTTTTTTTTTTTTTTTTTTTTTTTTTTGCCAAAAATGCCCTAGCTTTTGAGGGAGTCCCCAACCCAGGAATCAAAATCTATGGGAAAATATAAGATGAGGACTCTGCCTTTGGGGAATATTTACAAATAAGTTGAAAGGAGTGTAGACACACAAGCGATGGTAGTCAACAAACTAAAGGCAATAAAGCAGGAGTCGCTCGGCGCTGCTGGGGAGTGGAGGGATACGGTTTTCCCTATAGTATTACATAAGGCCTTTTGAAGTTAGTAGGTTTGGGGCAATCTAAGAAGTATAAGTGAATATTTAAGGTATGTTTGTTTGAGATAGGGCATCTTACATGGCCCTAGCTGGCCTTGAACTCTGTATATAGCCAAGGCACATCCTAACCTTCATTTCCCCTTACTCTACCCTTCAGTTGGTGGAATTACAATGTGTACTGCAAAGGCCAGTTGTGGATGCTGGGGATCAGAGCTAGGCCTCATCTCCGTTAGGCACACATCTATCAACAGCTCTAGGACATATCTTAACAATGAAGATACTCTAGTCTACCTAAAGTAATATACACCTGGGCTGAGTGTGGTGGCACACGCCTTTAATCTCAGCACTTGGGAGGCAGAGGCAGGTGGATTTCTGAGTTCAAGGCCAGCTTGGTCTACAGAGTGAGTTCCAGGATAGCCCGGGCTACACAGAGAAACCCTGATTTGAAAAACGAAAAAAGAAAAGTAGACAACTGTAAAGAGGGTTGGGCATCAAGATGTGAACTATCTTGAGCCTTCAGGTAGCTTATGTTTCATTGTGTACTCGGGAAAGAACTGATGCTGGAGTGAGTAGAGCCGAGTGCCAGAACTGTGAGGCTAAATACTGAGACTCACTTCCTCCTGAGATGCACAGAGAAGTCTACTACATCTATGTATTGGGGGCAGAGCACACGTGCAGTCCAGAGCACAGCTTGCATGAACCAGTCCCTCCTTCCTCTATGTGCAACCTAGGGTCAAACTCTGGGCATTCTTGGCAGCAGGCACCTTTTTACCTACTGTGCCATCTTGCCAGCCCTGGTCCTTAGTTTAATACAGACTATTTCTCTTCACCTAGAAGCAGCAAGATAAACTCCCCTGTGAAGTCTTAAAAACATCCTTCTTCTGTATCAGAGCTGAGAAAAATGACTGTCCTGGGTTTTCCCATCAGTGTTGTCACCTCTTGCAGCTACAGGGTACATGTTATACCTTTCCCTGAACCTCAGACCCTGTGATACAAACTTGTTTCCTCTCCTCTGACTCCAACTCTTACTGACCCACAGACAGTGCAATTTCTGAGAAGCTGTCATCTAGAGGTGGGAATGAAGAACAATGTCCACTGGGAACTAAACCCTGAAATAGTTGCCCGACATTTCTTCAAGAATGTGAGTGTTCCCAGACAATAGCATTCCCCTTGGGAGGCGCCATCTCCCCTTGGTAGGAGACCCAGGGTTGAACTTTTTCCTATAAAACCCTTTTACTAACTGGCGTTGGGAGTTACTTTTGGTTGGTTTGCAGGGAAAGGGGGTGGGGGGGAATGTGACTCAAAACTAAAGGTAGTTGCAGAATTTAAGGACCAATGGGAAAGGGCAGTTCAGTTTATTTTAGCTCTAGCTAGGAAGAACCTAGGATTGACTTACTGGGGAATCATTACTTTTGTGATGAAGTAGTATTGGTCTCAAAACCTGTTCTGTTTGTAAATTCACCACCCTCACTGAGAAATTAAGACTGAGGCTCTCTGCTGTCATCTGTGTGCATCTGTGCCCTCCCCTGAAATCAGCCAGAATCAGTTCCCCGGGTATATTCAGTTCTGCATAGGAAATTCTATACCCGAGTGTTACCTAGGGTTATCTAGTTTACCTAGAGGCTGCAACTGAAGGGTTAGGTGGTTGTTTGTTCTGTTTTCAGCTTGGTGTTGTTGTTGCCCCACATGCTCTGAGGCTGCCAGAGGACCCTATCACTCGGTGGGGCGAGTACTGGTGTGATGTGACTGTGAGTGTTTCCAGAATTTTTTTTTTGATTGGGAGGAGAACCACATGGAGAGCTGGCTTGGGTGGTATGTTTTCTGCCTGACTGATCTCTGGCTATTCCTGTTTTGAATGTCTGTTCAGGTAAATGGACTTGACACTGTGAGAGTTCCTATGTCCGTAGTGCTCTTTCAGAAGCCCAAGACCAAAAGATACAAGCGCTGGTTAGCCCAGCAAGCTGCCAAGAGCAGGACCCCCAACAGTCCCCAGGAAGTCTGAATGTCCTCTGCCTCCAAGTCCACAAAGCTTTCAGAAGAGCTGTGGAGCAGCATGGGCCAGCACTTGGAGCAGTCCCAGCTCTGAGCAGATGTGGATCATAGAGAACATGTGGACTCAGCAGACTGAGCTGCACATACGTGCCAGGTTCACTTTGTTTGTCATCTCCACCTTCAGTGGTCATCATAGCCAGCTGTGTTGCGTTCTGCAGGCAGTAGATGTAATAAGCTGAATATTGGTGACCAAAACAGTCTTCTTAGCCGTTCCTTCTACTGGAGAGTGCGTGGGAACAGGTGCAGGGGCCCAGCCACTGTTCTGTCAGTTGCTTTATTCTCAGCCAGGCTGTCTTGTGCAGAAGTAAAGAGCTGCTTCACTGGACATCAGCTGACTGGGCGGGATATCCAAGCAAGGTGTCTTAGCCACAAGTAAGTCTGACACAAAGGAGGAAAGTATCGCCATTCTCTGTGTCCTACAGTTGCCATGAGCTGACTACTCTGAATATAGCCAATTGCATCTGCTCTTAGAACTTTATCTCCATGTGAGTGATACAGTGGATCCAATACAATCTGTATGAGGCCTAAGGATGATCTACAGAGAAAGTGAAGCTGGCATTAAAGAAACTTAAAACAAAGAGAACTGTGGTATTTCTTAACTAGCTCCTGACATTCCATAAAGAAACCCCAATTTCCAGACTGCTGAGAAGCTAGAGGTCATTCAAGATGGCATTGCACACCTTTAGTCCCAGCATTCAGAGAGACAGCCATTGTTGGGCTGTTGGACCACAGTCTGTAAGCCTCTAATCCCCGTTACGTATTTGTTGTCAGTTCTGTTCCTCTAGAACAGCCGTTCTCAACATGAGTGTCATATTTCAGATATCTTGCATATCAGATATTTACATTATGATTTATAACAGTAGCAAAGTTACAGTTATGAAGTAGCAACAAAATAATTTTATTGTTAGGGGTCATGACAACATGAGGAACTGTATTACAGGGTTGTAATATTAGGAAGGTTGAGAACCACTGTCCTAAAGACCTGAGTTTGGTTCCCAGCACCTACGTACGTTAACTGGCTCTGCCTCCAAGGAGTTATATCCCTCGAGTGCCCTCTTTCTGTGGCTACCCATGTGTCATACATACACAATGCACAATTAATAAGATATCTTTTTTTTTATAAGACTGACTCATTAAGACTGAACACTAAGAGCTACTCTAGACTCATCCAGCAAAGCTTGAATGCACCTTTCATCAAATTCATATGAAGTATGTCAAGAATCAAATCCAACACTCAAAAGAAGATCTACCCCTAAACAAAAATTTCCTGTTGTCTGACATCCAATTAAATACTTCCTTAGAGATGAAATCTCCGGGCAGTGGTGGCGCACGCCTTTAATCCCAGCACTTGGGAGGCAGAGGCAGGCGGATTTTTGAGTTAGAGAGTTCGAGGCTAGCCTGGTCTACAGAATGAGTTCCAGGACAGCCAGGGCTACACAGAGAAACCCTGTCATGAAAAAACCAAAAAAAAGAGAGAGAGAGGGATGAAATCATTAACACATACCTAAGAACTGTATATCTGGTACATGGTTAATAAATGACTACCTGTAACAACTCTAGCAGGAACACAACCCAATTTTAAAAGGCCAAAGGATGGGGTGTTGTGGCTTATATTTGAGACACACATGCAGCAGGAGCTCAGAGCCATCCCCTGAGACGTGAGGATGGTGCTTGCGTGCTTAAGGGCACTGGCTACTCTTCCAATGGGCCTGGGTTCACAGCACTCATGTGGCAGCTCACAACCATCTGTGACTCCAGTTCCAGAGCATCTGCTGCTGTTCTAGTGCTGATCTCTGCCAGCACAAGGAAAACACACGGTGCACAAACACACATAGGCAAAATATCCATACACATTGTTTAAAAAGCACTTAGTTTGACCAGTTTCTAGTTTCTGTATTAACCATTGGCCACAATGAAGTTTCTCTGTCCAAAGCTGGAACGAGCACTAGATGAAGGACATAAACATAAGTGTAAAATAACTTTAGTGCTCAGCCCTAAACAGGATATTTCTTTTTTCTTTTCTTTTTTTTGTTTTGTTTTTGTTTTTGTTTTTTTGTTTTTTTGAGACAGGGTTTCTCTGTGTAGCCCTGGCTGTCCTGGAACTCACTCTGTAGACCAGGCTGGCCTTGAACTCAGAAATCCACCTGCCTCTGCCTCCCAAGTGCTGGGATTAGAGGCGTGCGCCACCACCGCCCGGCTAAACAGGATATTTCTATCACTGCCTCTAAGATTAGGGAACACCAAGGAATAAGGAACAGAACAATTAGAAGATTGCAAATGGATGAGCAGGAAGAGAGCTAGAAACAATACTTTCTGGATATAACATAGCCATTGTCATGAATAGCAATTACACAAAACCTACACACAGAAGAAGACAGACATGAAGGTACATGGGTTTAACCCCAGCACTCAAAAGGCAGAGGCAGGAGATCTCCAAATTTGGGACCAGCCTGGTCTACATAGCAGTTGTAAACTAGCCAGAGCTACACAGTGAGATCATGTTTCAAGAAAACAAGGGGCTGGAGATGTCTCAGTTAAGAATACTGTTCTTACAAAAGAGTGACACCCCTTTCTGTCCTTTCAGACACTGAACACATATGATACATAGACACACATGTAGGCAAAACACCTATATGTGTGAAAATAAGCAACTTTTTTTTTTACATGGGTCTCGGTGGTTAGAGTACTTGTTGCTCCTGTAGGAATCACAGGTGCAGTTCCCAGCAGTCACAAGGCTGCTCCCGGCCATCTATAACTTAAGCTCCAGGGGATCTGATGCCCTTTTCTGATTTCTGTAGTCACAGGGCATGCATGCATATGGTACACATAAATACATGAGATACATGTAAGCAAAATAGGCATACACATAAAATATTTCTTTAAAACTCTCTCATGGTCTTTTTTTTTTTTCAAGACCGGAGTTTCTCTGTGTATCTCTGTATGTCATCCTGGCTGTCCTGGAACTCACTCAGACCAGGCTGGCCTGAACTCAAGAGATCCACTTGCCTCTGCCTCCTCGGTGCTGGTATAAAGGCATGTACCACCATGTCTGGCTCCATTTTCTTTTTTAAAAAAATTAAAGACATCAAAGTACTTGGGTGATTGATTGGGAAAAGAAGAGGTCAACAGAAGTGGGAGGGGACAAGATGGTGGGATTAGCTATGCTCACAGCTCATGGTATTTGTTTATACAATTGCCCAAAAGTTAAATGTAAAAACAAACAGGTTTTCAGGTGATCTCACCACATAATTTCTAAGTACGTGAAGTAATGCATAGTTAGAGCAGAGACTCAGCAGAGTAATAAAGTAATGAACATAGTAAAGTAATGGAGGAAGAGAAGTCATCTCCACTTTGCCCCCACCTGCTTGAGCTGAGGCATCCATCCTTTCCATTGAGACTTACACCATCAGCCTCCTGAACGGGAGCCTTCAGACTCACTGAATTCCAGGGTCTCTGGATGGCAGATGGAGGCTCTTAGCAGCCTCTCCAATTACAGGAACCAGTTCTTACACAGTTTCTAAACCAACAAATCCAACCAAGTGTAGATCACATGTTTGGGGTGGGGTTAGGGGAAACACTAGAAATTTTCCAAAAGAGAAAAACTTAGATTTGCAGGCAGCAAGCTCTACACTGAGTCTGTGCAAATGGTGGTCTGTGGTACACTCTGCTGCTGCCTACCTTTTGACAGATGTGTCCCCTCAGTTACTCTAGTCTGAGCTTCATTCACTGTGTGCCCCTCCATATAATATGAAGTTTGGGTTATATAGGTTTATCTGTACTGAGCGTGTACTGTATGGGCTATCTTCCCATGATATAAGATTTAATGCACTGACAAGGGTCCCACTTGGTGTTTCTATAGGATGGCTCTGAGAAACTTTGGAAAAGCCAGGGCTTACATTAAATGATGTAAAAATGCCAGGACTTCTGTGGTAGTATATGGTATAAGAGGTATGGCTCAAAAGAAGCGGGCCAGGTGTCATGGATGCCTGTAAGCCTAGCACTCAGGAGACTAGGGCCGAAGGACTGGAAGTTAAATAATAGCCTGACCTATATATTGAGACTGTCTCAAAGCAAGAAATAAATATGTATTAGTTAGCTTTGTCAACTTAACACAGCTTAGTCATCTGAAAAGGGATTTTTTTCACTTGAGGGATTGTCTAGATCAGATTAGCCTGTGGAAGATTGTCTTGATTGTTAACAGGTGCAGGAGAACCTGGCCCACTGTGGGCAGCAACATTCCTGGGCAAGTGGTTCTGGGTTGTATAGGAAAACTAAGCACAAACCTGTAGATTCCCAAGGGTTACACGATAGCCAGTCTAGCTGACATGGTGTGTCCTAGAATCAGTCAGAGACTGTAAACAATAAGGTGGAAAGCAAAAGAGGAAAAGAACCATATTGACCTGTGGCTTACACACACACACACACACACACACACACACACACACGTACCCACATGCAAACATTCATACACATACTTATAAAGGAAACTAGAGTACATTGGTCAAAAGGATCAGAAAACTAAATGGAGAGATACCACAGCAGTAAGGACGTCTCTGATGTCTTTGGTGACTTCTGACTTCACATAGCATTCTCTAGCATGCTGTTCCAGTTTCCTTCCTGTTGCTGACCCAAGGCAGCAACGGGAAGGAAAGGACTTACATGGCTCACCCTTCAGGTAACAGTCCATCATTGAGGGATATCAGGGAGTAACTCAAGCAGAAACCATGAAAGAAGGCTGTTTGCCTTCCTCAGTCCTGTGTCCTCAGCATCTTGACCCACCATCCTTTCCTATCCCCAGCCTGTACATGCTGGCCAAGCTCCTCCCTCTCTCTCTCTCTCTCTCTCTCTCTCTCTCTCTCTCTCTCTCTCTCTCTCTCTTTCTCTCTCTCTGTTTTCTAAGGAAGAGTCTTCTTCCAAAGGCCTGGCTTTCCTGTAACTTGGCTGGCCTTGAACCCACAGAGATCCACCTGCCTCTGCCTCTCTGACCCTCTGCCTCCTCTGACCCCCTGCCTCCTACAACCCTGCCCCTGCCCCTGCCCCTGCCCCTGCCCCTGCCCCTGCCCCTGCCCCTGCCCCTGCCCCTGCCCCTGCCCCTTC